GAATGAATGATAAGTTGTTTTTTTTTTTTGAAACAGGGTCTCACTCTGCCATCCCGGCTGGAGTGCAGTAGTACCGTCTTGGCTCACTGCAGCCTTGACTTCCTGGGCTCAAGTGATCCTCCCACCTGAGCCTCCCAAAGTGCAGGGATTCCAAGAATGATCCACCATGCTCATTCTTGAATCATTGCCCCCGTGTGTACCCTCATTTTAACATAGAATAGCAATGTCAAGAGCATGCATCCTTGCCTTGCTCCTGGTCTGCTCCTACATGGGTGGTGGTACGTTCAATATCTCATGTGCAGGTTGCTTGTAGTTATCTGTATTCATTTCCTATTGCTGCTGTGACAAATCACTGCAAACTCAAAGGCTTAGAACAGCACAAATAGCTCGTCTTACAGTTCTGGAAGTCAGAAGTCCTATAGGACTAAACCAAGGCATTGGCAGGGCTGCCTTCCTCCTGGAGGCTGGGAGAAAATCCATCTTCTTGCCTTTTTCAGCCTCTAGAGGCAGCTGCCTGCATCGCTTGGTTCAAGCCTGTCACTTTGCCTTCAAATCAGGCAGCACAGTTTTTTGAGAGTTTTTATCATAAAGGGGTGCTGAATATGGTTGAATGTTTTTTTCTGCATCTTTTGCGATGTTCATACAGTTTTCGTTTAATTCTGTTATGGGATGTATCACATATATTGACTTGTGTATGTTGAACTATCCCCGCATCCCTGGGATGGAACCCACTGGATCATGACGAATTGTCTTTCTGATGTGCTGTTAGACTCAGTTAGCTAATATTTTGTTGAGGATTTTTGCATCTATGTTCATCAGGGAAATTGGTCTGTAGTTTTCTTTTTTAAATTTTTTTGACTTGTTCTTTCCTGGTTTTGGTATCAGGGTGATACTGGCTTCATAGAATGATTTAGGGAGGATCATTGCTTTCTTAACCTTTCAGAATAGTTTTAGTAGGATTCATACCAATTCTTGAATGTCTGGTAGAATTTAGCTGTGAATCTGTCTGGTCTTAGGCTTTTGTTGTTGTTGTTGACAATTTTTTAATTATGGATTCAATCTCGTTACTTGTTATTGGTCTGTTCAGCGTTCCTATTTCTTCCTGATTTAATCTAGGAGAGTTGTATGTTGACAGGAATTGACTAATTTCCTCTAGGTTTTGTTGGTGCATGTAAGTGTTCATAGTAGTCTCGAATGATCTTTTGTGTTTCTGTGGTGGTGGTTGAATA